TTTTTTTTTTTTTTTTTTTTTTTGACAAAAAAAAGCTCCATCTATTGGTGGGGAGCAGCACCTGCTGGAAACCGGGTCCAGCGTCCCATAGATACAACCATATCCTCACTAATTGGGCTGGGAGGCCATCTCACTTGTTTCATTACAGTAATTAGAGAGAGAAAACGAAATCGGCAAGCCACTCACTTTGCGTCTAGCATAGTAGTGGTTGGAGGCCAGAGCGTGTTGTTTTCTTTTTTCTTTTCGAGGCCAGATTTTGACTGGGCTTCTTGCGATTGTCCTTTTCTCTCTCTTTCTGCCTATGGTTCTCAGTGAGAGAAGGTTTCAGTGACTATGTATATCGAGGGGGAGTGGTTGGTGGTCCCCACCACCTCAGGGTATCAGTTGTCGGGCAGTCGTGGATGCTTAACCACAACCGGGGTTAAGGAGGATTATCACTTAGTGTAATCAGTTAGGGGATTCCGCAGACTGTTGAGGGTTCAGCCTCCTGATGAGTCGGTGGAACGGTCCGACGAAACAGTTTGTCACTGCCCCCCCTCGTTTGTTGTCCTCTTCTTCCTGTTTGACTACTACGGTTTACTGGGCAGCTCTGTTTGACGATATATACCACGACTTCGCTAGCACCCTGCTACGGTTTTCTCCGGTCAGGTCGAGCGGCAGTGGTCGGGGCCGTCGCTACGCGGCCATGCTGTGCCTCTAGTGTGCCAGCGGCATGCCTGGAGTGTATTTTCTGGCTGTGACAGACCTTTTGTTGTTCCGTGGGTGTTTTGCTGGCTTGTGATGGGGGGGTGTGAACCGACAGTCTGTAGAGTTTTCCATCTGGTGTGGGTGAGTGATAGTCTGCTTTGATTTTCGTCACAGGTACCTTGAGGGCAGTGGTTGGTGGTCCCCACCACCTCAGGGTATCAGTTGTCGGGCAGTCGTTGATGCTTAACCACAACCGGGGTGAAGGTCGATTATCGGTTACAGTGTAATCAGTTAGGGGATTCTGCAGGCTGTTGAGGGTTCAGCCTCCTGATGAGTCGGTGAAACCCCGACGAAACAGTTTGTCACAGCCCCTCGTTTGTTTATTGTCCTCTTCTCCCTCCCTCTCTGCCATATGGTTTACCGGGCACCTCTGTTTGATGACATATACGCCTTCCTCTCCCTCTCCCTCTCCCCCTCCCTCTCCTTCTCCTTCCTCTTTGCCAGCATCTTCTTCTTTGTCATCTCCCCCTTCTTCTTCTTCTTCTTCTTCTTCTTCTTCTTCTTCTTCTTCTTCTTCTTCTTCAATCATCCCTTCCTTCGTCTTCTTCTTCTTCTTCTTCTTCATCATTTGCCTCCTGTAGTCTGTCTTCCTTTTCCCCACGCCGGCTGAGATCGGCCACTCCTTTGTCTTTGTTGTCTATATTGGGACGTCGGCAGGTCCGTTCATTCTCTCCTCATTCTCTCCTCCTCCCAGTCCCCCTTCCTCTCGACATCGTGTTGATGCTAATCTGCGGGGTTCTTTGCCTTACCGACAGCCTGCTCTGCCACGTCGACCGCGTTCCACATTCATGCGCCGACCCCGCCAGATCAGACCTGGCTTTCCAGTGGTGATCAATTCGGATCTGTGGGCAGATCTACCAATCGCTTGTGGCTTGACAACCACAAATGTCTGCCTACAGGCTTATCAGCGTCAATGTTATACTCCATCCCATTTTGTTACGATTGCTTATCAGCTTGACGCTGTTGAAAATCAGTTTTGTATGACCATAATTGTCCACCTCCTGAGGGTATACTACCTCAGGAGGCTTTACTGTAAATGTCTTACAGTTAGCGTTTTCACGGTCGCCACCTTCTCATGCATCATGCGACCCTAGGCGATGACCTTAATGACCATCCTCATATTTCTGCCTGCATTTTGCACAGACCCAGGGATTATATGGCACTCATTCGCGCAGCTGCCCAGTGGGAACTGTGGGATGGTGGGACGATGATTCAGGCAGAATTTTCAACATAAACTTCATAAAGTGAATTTTTGCGTGCCTTGCCGAATCATACGCTTTTCTGGATTGTTGACAGGCTCTCGTGTGACACTTGTCGGGACAGAGGCGCGGTGCGCCTTGGCTGCGGAATGCATCATCTATGCCATAGCCATTATCAATCTATTGCGACTGCCGCCGTCTGTGCTGAAGGGTGTCCAACATTTCCTCATTGTACACATCCCTATCACCCAGATATACGTTGTCCCTTTTGTGCCCAAGGACGCTATCAGAACTGCATGATGCCGCATTGTGATGCACGTCCTGCTGTCTTTTTGACATGTGGACAACATGTCCTCTGTCAGGACTGTTTTGATGGGATGGTTCGTGCTAGCCGTCCTGCTGAATGCTGTGCTGACGTACCTCTCCTTGGGTATCCTTGTGAACATCCACGTCATCCTCACCGTAGCTGTCCTATCTGCGGAGGTGGGGACAGATAAAGTCTTCGATACTACCGGCAGATACGGAGTTAAAAGAAAGACGAAGAAAAAATTGAAAAAAGCACAAATTGCCGAAGAAAAGAAAAAGAAAAAAAAAGGAAAAAAGAAAACAAGAAAAAAGAAAAAAATATATGTTGATCTGTGGGATGTGTTATCTGCTTTGTGGCAATTGGATTATCTGTGGGATGTGTCATTTGCTTTGTTTGACTGATAGGCTTTCTTTCCCTGTCAGGTTTGGTTTCCTCCTCCTTTTCTTTACCTCTTTTTTGCCTTTTGGCTGCGTGCAAGTGGGTCCTTGCGACACAAGGGGATGGGGGCAGCCAGCGCTCAACCTGTCATCCACGTGGCTGGCCTTGTACGTAAGAGGTGATGAACGGGCGGCGCTTTCCTTCCTTCCTTCTTTTCCTTTCCTTGTTTTGCTTTTTTTCGCCCTTGCGCTCCAATTCACGGTGTGACAATATTTTTTCTTTTCTTTTGTCATAAATTGCCATAAAGAACTGCCTGGTGAACCATAGGCATAGAGGGAGGGAGAAGAGGACAACAAACAAGGGGCTGTGACAGACTGTTGAGTCGGAGTTTCACCGTTTGACTCGTCAGAAGGCTGAACCCTCTACAGTCTGTCTGAAGAGTTCCCCTTAACCAATGGGTGCTAGTGTAAGTGTTAATCAACCTCGGTTGTGGTTAAGCATTAATAATAACGACTGTCCCTCTGCCTCAACGCAGCCCTCACCGCCCCCACGAAAAAGAAGACCCGCAGAAAAAGAGGAAAAGAAAATGAAAACTCAATCATAAAATATGTAATCTTGTAATTGTAATGGTATATAAATATTTATTATACATAGATTTTGTAGATATGCATAGGGTATCATTTTATTATTATCAATTGGTTGCCCAGTGCCAGGATCAATAAGTAATTCGATTCTTTCTGTGCTATTCATTTTTAGATGATAACCACATTATTCCCAGATTCTTCGATTTTGCCCCCACCTTGACCCTAGCCTTAACAAATTACTCCTGACTGCACCTGTAAGTACCCCTTTTACAAAACCATTTCGAAACATTGAATGATAAAATAAAGCGAACATGGTACTGCCCCGGCGCTCGCTTCCCTACCGAACTGCACTAGAGAGCTCCTGGAAGAAAACGTGTACAATATGACAATGAAACAGACAACGCCTCTTCTTTCCTGAACTGCTGTACTCTCGGCGTTGAAATAGTGAGCTCCTGGAAGAAAAGGGGAAAAAAAAATATAATGAGCTCCTGGAAGAACAGGGGGGGGGGGAAATATAGTGAGCTCCTGGAAGAAAAGGAAAAAGGGAACCATGGAGGCAGAAAAGGATGCACTGGCCACCCTTAGCAACAGTGTGCTTGGGCAAACGTGAGGTGGTGGATGATGGATGAATGGATGGATTGGATAATGATCTTGGTCTTCGATTCTTTGTCCTTGTGCAGGGGCTTTGGTTGTTCATTTCAGTTCAGAGGGCAGGTCGATCTCCGATGCAGTCGAGGTTTGGGGAGTTTTCTGCCATCAGTACATAGTGATGGTGAGAGCCCTACTTGTCATCATCCTCACCCACTTCCTCCTTCGCATCATCATGTTGTCTGGTGCCCCTTGCCGCAGAGGGAGCAGCAGCGACCCATGTTACGGCATAGAGGGCGTTGGGGGCTGTTTGTCAGGCGTGTGCAGGCACAAGCAGTTGGCTCGACGCTGTTGGAGGAGAGGGGAGTGAGGCACGAAAGCCTTGGTCCTCGAGGCAATGCTGTTGACACACTGGTAGCTGCAGCAGAGGTCATAGCCCTTGCCAGGGCTGCTGCACAAGCTGCCAGGGATGCTGCACAGGCAGCTGCAGCTGCTCAGGCACATGCCCGGTCGATTCCAGATGAGCTGCTCACTCGGGGCATCTTGAATGGAGAGATCAGTGGTCTTGCGCAAGAAGTACGGAGAGCTAGTATACTGGAGGAAGGTGAGGGTGAGGGGAAGGGACGGCTCGCGGAGGGGGATGATGAGGAGGACCAAAAAAATGGGGAACATAGGCAAGGTAGGGGCAAAAGCTTGGGCATACTGGAGTGGACTAGCAGTGACGACATAGCGACTGCATCAGGTCAGGTTTTATGGGAAGATGACGCTGTAGGGATACCGACAGTGATGAGGCAGGCGCTTGAGAAAGCAAAGCAGGAGGCAGAGCGAAGGAGAGAGAACAGGCGGAGGCGAATGAGAGGAAGCCGTGTGCCAGGTGAAGACACTCTTGCATCAGCCATCCTGCCTCTGCCTGAAGATACACCTTTGGCAGCACGAGATGACAGTACAGCTGTGGGCTCAGTAGGGGATAGTGACAATATCACTGCCACCAGCTGGGCAGGGAAGAGTGAAGAGGAAGATAGATCATCTCAAAGCCAAGAAACAGAAGAAGAAACACCGGACTCCGTCAAGAGGCTATTGCATATTGGGCATCTGCAGTCGAAGCCGAAAGGTGGTTCTCGTGTGCATGAGCATACTGACTCCATTCAGTCATACTTGAGGAATATTTCTACAACAAGGTTGCTGACACCCGCGGAGGAGGTGGACCTTGCCACTCGGATCCAGGTTGGCTGGTTTTCTTCTCCCTCTCTGTTCCCTTTCTACCCCCATCGCTTTGCTACTTCCTGTGCCAACCTGTTCAGTTACCTTTTTCCTTTTTCTGCTCAGCCGGCTTTAGGTGGTCAACTACTTATTGGTTAAGCCACCGGTCCCACCGAACCAAATCACATGTCTGAAAAAGAAGAGTGTTGCCTGAGCCTGAAACAGACCAGTAGTCCGTTGGGACATCTGTTAAACCTGGAACGATACAGAGAAAGAAGATTAGTAGGGCCCCTGCGCAAGGATGACACGCATAAATCGAGAAAAAGGTCCTTTTTTTTAATAAAACCTGTGTAACACTCCGTACGACGTACGGGGGATTTATCGTACAGTCGTACGTACGGCCGTACGGCCGTACGTACAGCCCCGTACGGAAAAAAAAAAAAAAAAAAAAAAAAAAAAAACCATTTTTCTTTGGATGATAATCTATCTCTATCTTATCCTCAGAAAATGCACATCCAAACAGATCGGAGCCAGGAGCTATGTCCTGAATACGTACTTCAGAAGACATGCACTGCATGCTACAATGCAGAAAACCTTTTTTCGTTTTTTCTTAGAATTCATAGTTGTAATTTGCACAATGATTTTTTTTTTTTTTTTCCCCTTTCCTTCCTCTATTTCTTATTTTTGCCTAGTTTTTGAATTTTTGTTTTAAGTATTGGAAGGTAAATACTCGAATGCGCTCGCGGTCTCTCTCTCTCTCTCTATATATATATATATATCGTCATAATATATATATATATATTGTCACATATATATATATATATGACGCACACCTGCGGCCCCTTCCTTCGAAGACCATTTTAAAGATAAACCTTTAAATGTTGGTCTAATTCCGAGCTATCCTCGAATATTCAAAAAATTATAAAAAAAAAAAACCTTTTTTTTTTTTTTTTTTTAA